TTAATTCTTTTTATGTGTGAAAGATATCTGCAATTTAAATGACTAATTGCATTGTAGCTTTAGGCTGAACATATTGGTAATGCGCAAATGTTGATGACATGTGAAGGGTCAAGAGATTTATAATTTAGTTGACAATACATTGCTTAAAATGATGTGGCAAAGAGCCAGAAAATTTCAGCTTAATAATTGTCTATTAACTAACGTGACATATTTGTATAGTATTCATTACCTCCAGGTACAGATTAAGCATCTGATGTAGCCATACGAAGTGACATGCGTACATGAATCTTGGGCATAATAGTGAATAAACTGACATTACATTCGCAGTAATTTGTTTCAGTATGTAAAACATGTTGTTGCCTACATTTGAAAGGACTTGTAGGAGTGTTGCAGTGAAATCTGAGGGAAAAATGCTTAGTTGAGTAGCATTCTCTATTATATAGATCTGACAGCTTCGTGAGGCTTCTTTGTAGACTACAGATAACATAAATATACATGTTCGTTTTCAGGTGCACGAGAAGCAGCCTGGAAAGAGAGATCTAAGCCTTTCAGACATTGGCTTGATCTACCCTAATGGTCTATAAGGTTTAAAAAAAAGAAGAAACCACACTGAAAATCCCGCCATCCAATGCCACCAACTTTATTTTTTAAAAATATCATATTTGAGTAATGTAGTATTTTAGTGTTGTGAATGTGGGAGTATTTCCAGCAGACTGAGGCTTGTTAGAATAGGCAGCATCAGTAGGCTGGCTTGTCACCAAAGTAATACCAACTTCTTTCACTTTGTTTTCTCTGGCCTAAAATGATGCGCTTATTTGTACAAGTAAAACTGTCACAATTCTGACAGTGTCTCTTCCTTCCTCCTTGCTGCTGGGGGAGACCCAGGAAAGTGTTTGAGCACTCCACAGTGCATTAATGGCTTATTAACCCTTTTTTTCCTTCTGTGAGACAGGAACGTGAGCTGTGTTTTACAGCTGGGAAACTAATGTACAGGGTACACTATCACAGACCTCAGTGTGACCACAGGTGACAGAGCCAGAGTTTGAACCTGGATGCTTTTGCTCCGATTGGCTAGGTGCTTTTACCAGCTTCCAATAATGTCTCTGCTGCACACAGCTGTAATTATTCAGTGTTTGGAGATGTCATTGAAAACTGTCTCGTGACTTTGCTTCCTTCTGCTGGTGGTATTTTTATAATGTGCAGCAGAGCTGCAATGACAGTTTGTTCTCTTGGGATCTTGGCTTAGAGACTGGGATGTGTTTATGCCACACCAAAAATTGAAATGAGAACTCTCAGCTTGACTTTTTAACACTTGACTGAACACTTTGCTCCCTTAAAGTGCCCCCCTCTTAAGAGTTCAAAATTTTGAGTGTGATTGGTGTGAAGCCATTGAAGTTGAGAAGGGAGAGTGTACTCTGCCAGGAACAGCTCACTGAGCCTGACCTGGACTTGGTGGGAAGAAAGGTGTCTGCTGACCCCTCTGAGCTTTGTGTCAGGGCCTGAGCGACTTTGATATCCTTGTCTGTACCGGTGATCCAGACTTGTAGATTCCGTGCTCCAGATACCTTGGAGACTAGCATTAAGGTGGTGATGGTAGCTCGGGTAAAGGAGGAGCCTTGTCGTGAGCTGGGGCTCTGCATCAACTTCACTCTTGCCTTTTCAGAGAGAGCTGGAATTTAGTTCTCAGTCCAGCCACTGGAGAGAGCTCTGGAGATCTTAAAACTGGTTTTGGGAGCAACCTCTCAACAAAACTAGCTGCACAACAGGCGTGGGACTACAGCAGGAGCTCCACAATGTCTTTTGCTGCCAAGATCAGCGAGAGTAACTGATCCCTGTCAGGTGTATATAAAAGGCTCTGAGGATCAAGAAAGGGCGACAGCATGTTGCTTTGCCAAAGTTGCTGATTTGACTTGACTCTGAGGATAGGCCAAAAGCAGGACTGCAGCTGTTGTGGCCTCCTGGGGCTGGTTTTAAGCCAGCTGCTGGTCTCTTTACTGTGAAGGGTGGTTTCCAGTGGTGCAGAGCCACGTTGCTGTAGTACCTTACCTGGCTTACCAGCAGGGTCTGTCAGCTGTTGGTAACCCAGGCTGACTGGTAGTGTTTATGCTGGTAGTTACCCCTCCCAGGCTGCATGTCTCTGCATTGTTTCTCTTTTGGAAGGAAAGCGGGGTGCTGGGGGTTGGGTGAAAGGCAGGAACTTCAGGATACAGCTAACATCTTCCAGCCTCCCCTGTGCAGAAGAGGACTGTTCCCAATTTAAAACAAAAAAAAAAACAAAAAAAAAAAGAAAAAATTTTAAAAAAAGAAAAAAAAGAACCTACTGGTTAAGGCACTAATAATTAGATGTTACACAATGGGGGGGGGGGGTGTGCGCGTGCAGGCTGATTGCAGTACCCTGTGCTAGAATTGGTTCTACAGGGATACATTTTATATTCACTTATCTTTGTACTTGTGTGTGGCCTGGTTGAAAAGCAGCACTTTTCACTTCCCCTCAGAAGAGGCTTGCAAAGCTGTTTTAGGGTAGGCTGAAGACTTTTGCAGTGAAGAATTCCCCAAAATAGCAAGACACAAGCAGTTGCTGCCCAACTAGGAGGAATGTAATGGAGATGTCTGGGAGCAAGGAGTGGGCTGCTGTTGTTTTAACCAGGGTATTAAGGTGTCAAAAGCAGCGTGGGGGAGCATCTGTGCAGGAAGGGGTATATGAGATGTAAAGGAGAGGACTGCTGACTGTTGCCTAGGGCCAGACAAGACCTGCTGCCCAAGAGGAACTTGCTCAAGAGGAGGCTCTGAGAACTGAGCAGCAGAGGACCCTCCCCTAAAGTGTCCCTTGAGTCAACTGGAAAGCTCAGGAGTTGGGCATGTCTTAAATAAGGTCTTGGATATTAACAGAGACACCTGTGATGGTTCATTTTGATGCACAGATGGCATCTTAACTTCCAAGTGTTTCTCACTTTTGGTTCTCTAAATGTAACTGTAGGGGACAGTAGCTAAAGGAGTTAGTGCTCGTTCCTGTATAAACTTAGTTCAGAGTGAGTTCCCCAATGCAGTCCCAGTCTGGACTGGAAGGACCTAGGCTGTCTGTTGGCTTCTTTAATTTTAAACCATCATGCACGTTGTGAGAAGGACCTTTTCTTTTAACTTGGATATGGTAGCAGCTGTTGGTTTAGATATGTTCAATAGTCAAAGAGCCCCTGGCCCCTGAAATGCTGTACTCAGCATCACACTGGCTTACCAGAGCTACCATGTGAAACTTAGAAGTATGAACTGTCTGTCTTAGCAAACAGGAGTCCAGGATAAGCTTTAGCTTTGGATGTGATATTACAGCATAACATCGCTTTACGTCTCGGCACTGGGCATGATGGGTAAGAACTTAAGAATAAACAAGTAACTGTCTCAAACGCAGGCAGCTTGGCGCTTCTGCCCTATTGTAGCATGTTGCAGCTGCAACAGCTTCCAAAGCAGGCTCGGGCATTTGTGCTGTCTGCCTCCTTTTTGTAAGGGAGTGAACAGGATTGAGGTGGCTTTGTTTGGTGTCTTTTTAAAGGTAAGACTTCTAGTCTAATGACTATTTAGAGAGAAAATACTTTCACCTCCGTAAAGTTCTTTGAATTATAAAGGACATTGCTGCTGGGTTACTGAAAACCCTTGGGGTTTGTTTCATTTATAACATTGCCTCAGGCCTTCTGCTGCATCCTGTTGGATTGACCTCCTTTTCAACCCGTGCTGGCAGCTGCATTGCAGAGCTATCTTTTCCCTGGATCCTTCAGGGTTGTCATATGACAAACTTGAACTGTGACCCTTTTGTGTCTTACCAGGACAGCAGTGCCCTCTCTGTGCGATGTGGCCAGCAGTCTTCCCCACACACGCATTTGTTCCAAGCCATTTAACAAACTGAAAGTTTCAAATGATGGCGTTTCATAGTGTTTAATAGTATCAACTGTAAAGCAAATGAAATGGTGCTGAATACCCTGCATGCTGCTAGTAAGAAATACAGCTTCCATTTCTGCAGTGTGCCCTGGGTTTTCTGTGGTTAGTGTGTGCTCTCTGGTGAATCTCTTTATTTTTTTAATAAATTTCAATGCTTCCCCCCTAATAACAGTAGTATTCACTGCTATAGATAGTCCAGCACTGGTATTTGTTTCTAATGTATAGGGTTTTTAACCAGATTTCTCTAAGCGAAGTGGGCAAAGTCATTTTCCTGAAGTCTTGCAGAGAGTGTTAGGGTAAGAATTGATATAGTTAACACGGCATCCAAGCAACACCATCTCCAAGCGGTGTTGATGCTGGCAGGCATTGCCTTGCTAAAGTTACAGAGACTGAGCACTCGTATTTGTACAAATTGCATTCATTACCAAGAACCCTCCAGTAGTGATAAGAGACTGGCTGTGTAGCATAGATTGGCTCCAAGATAAGTAGCCAGTCTATTGTGCAGCTCATGGTAATCTTCCTCCTCCCCGCCCCTAATAATAGATCTTGGGGCATTTTGGAATGTGTGGGGGTTGCTCATTCCAGTAGCCTGAATGTATAACTACTAAACATCACCATCTACCAATCGTGCTTTCATAACCAAGCAAGGCAGCTGACTGAGGTGGATAGGCTCTGGTACAGTGTTCTGAACACACGGATGCTTTGACTCTGTGTGTGTGTTGCTCCCTTAAAGGACAATTCACAGGTGATGGCCAGGGTAAGAGTTTCTCCTGGCTGTGTTTCAAGGCTACAGCCCACTCGCAATGATGGTTTTCTTCAAGAAGAGATGTGAACATCTGGAGCGGGTTTTTTCATTGCTTTGACTGAAATAAACCATTAACTGGCAAGTGTTTGCTTTGTCTTTTAAAGTGTCTAATGTGTAAGGACTTCTGGATTGCTGGTTTTAAACACGTAAAGCTGAACATCAGCAGGCTAGTTTTATGCAGGTAGGCAGTATAATCCAACCAGTTTGGTTAAAAACTTATATTTACATGGAATTCTAATGTTTTTTTCTCTCTCCCTTCCCCATTTAGGATTTGAAAGGCAATGGAATCGCTCCTGGATCATCAGGTTTTAGCCTTACGAAACAGCTGCTCTGTCCAAGAATAACCCGCGTCTGTCTCAGGGACTTGATATTCTGCATGGAACAAGAGCGGGAGATGAAACATTCCCTAACCTTGTACCGTGCTCTTCTGAAGTGATTTTGAGTTTTACATTTCAACTTGCTGTCTACTGCCAAAGAAAACACTGAAGCATTGTTGCACTGTCTTGAAATTCCAATTTCTGGAAAATGATCCGTTGTAAGGATAACTCTTGTTTACAGATAAACATTTTTATTAAATACCTAACTTAGCACCTGTAGGGGTTTTTAATAATATTTGGCTTAAACCAGTCTGTAAACCAGTGAAAACACTGAGCTGCACACACAAGCACCTGACTACCTGCTTGCATTTAACTGTCTTGCAGGCTCTGAGGGCTTGATACGTGTCCCTAGTTTATGTATGTCGCTTGCTTCAGTACTCCAGAGTCTGCAACATTTGTTCTACATGTAGTGCCTTCTTCTAATCCAACCTTATTTAGGTAACAAGTAACACTTTAAAGGCACTGCATAGCATGGCAACTGTATTTAATCATGAACCAGCAGTCAGTCAACATGCTAATGTATTGCCTATCTGACTCAGCATCTCCTTAAATTTTCTGGGTTTAGAATTACTACTGGATGCTCGTTTGTGGAGAGCAAAGTGGCAAGCAAAAGGAATGAGGGGTGCTTTCTCACCCCCACCTCAGCTGCCCTCCCCCTTTCCTCTGAGAAAGTGACTGAGGGAAGGTGAACAAATTGGTCATTCTTGTGACTGAAGTACATCAGACAGTGTAGTTAGGGCATACTTCGATGTTTGGGGAAAATCTGGAGTTACTAAGCTTGAATACAAGGAGTGGAAGAGCCTAAAAAGGAAGAGTAAACAGAAGAAACAGTTTCTCTTTCTGTAGATGTAAAAATTAGCATTGAACTTGAGCGTAGATGTAGAAAGAAATGAACAAAAGCAACCTGTGCTGACTGCAAAAAAGGGAAGACTTGAGATGCATTGAAACTTTGCAGCTGGAGACTCTCTTAACGAGAAAAGCAGTGTTTGCAAAGCACAGGATTCACTGCTTTATTTAGAACATTGATTTAATACCTTAATGTGGTATAACAGGGAAACTTCCCAGATAGAAGGTATTTAGACAGTTGCCTGGTTTCCATTCAGTGAGGAGGACGACTCTGGATTATTAAGACTGCTAGAATAGACTCAAAGATTTTCTGCTTGCTGGTAAAGACTGCCTTGTGGTGGCAGGAAGAACCTTCAGGTCGCCCCTCTCCCCAGCCTCCAAACATTTTGCCTCCCCTGACACAGTGCTGTATAGCGTGGCTACTTCCCAGGACCGGTGGGAAAGGCACTGACTGTGTTGAATGGCTTCCTGCTATTTTCTTTTAAGGAACAAGCTTCCTATGGTTATTTGGCATGCTACTTCAAAACTTGATGATTCAAACGCCCTCCACTGTCAGAACCACTGCAGATAGTTACCAAATTCAGTAAGTTTTGAACCAGTTATGTTTTTTTGTGTTGGAACAGTAGTAAACAAATCTAGTAAATGAATGCTGTAAATTATTTATATATGTATATATAGCATA